TTGGTACTGGAAATACTTCTCAGAAGGTTCAAGACTTAAGTGCACTTCTGAATCAAATGGTCTATATGAGGTTTCCAGGTAAGCCTCTTATCAAACCAGGGTCCCAAAAACTTGACTTTATCCACAAACTCCAAATGAAAACCGGACAAAACCAATTTTGAATTATGAGGGATGTTCTCCATCGTCTGCAAACTGTGATGTTTCAACCAGTACATCGATATTCTCAAACAGGTCATTAATCATTAACATTAGATAAGGTTGGGCTGATTACACTACCTTGAGGTGTTCCATTTTCTAACATGTATAATCCAACAGAGAAGATCCAATGCAAACTTGTATAGTTCTATCCCTCAAGAAATCTTTTATCCAGTCAAGCATACGTCCACAAGCGCAAAGATTATACAGTTTTATTACCAAACCGACCCTCAATAACATGTGATAGGCTTTTTCAGTGTCCATGAAAACAGCCAGTAGATATTCAGTGCTACCTAGTGCCTTTTTAATTTCGGTTTCAAGTCGCACTAAATGATCAGCACAAGATTTCGTGTTTTTGAAAGCCTGACTGGACACCTGAAAAGAGATTGTTCTGTTCCATGAAGTAAACCAGACAATTATTTACCATTCTCTCTATTATTTTACACATGTTGGAGGTAAGAGCAATAGGCCTGTAGGATGTGGCTTGAGTAGGATCTTTATCAGGCTTTGGACTAGGAACTACAATTGCCTTTTTCCAAGAAATGGAAAGCTTGCCTTCAAACCAAATGTGATTAAAAAGTAAAAGCATAGTTTCAAGGCTGATAACTGGCAGATGTTTGAACATATCATAACACAATAAATCATCACTTGGAGAGGTATTTTTTCATCCAGAAATGGTGTTTATTAATTCCTGTAAACTAAATAAAGAGTTGTAGTCAGCAATATGATGTGTTGGACAATGTAAGATATCTGAATACTCTGATTCAAGTGACTCCTTAATGAGCCGGAAGTCTCAACTAAAGTTATTTGTATTACCATACTCTTGCCAATATTTGTTGTTGCTGGTGTGTCTTTACCAATACATGGAATACTTAGACCAAGAGAAACGTTTGGCTGCAGTAACAGTTTGTTTAAGGAAAGCGGAAGCGCCGAAACTCTATTAAGTCAGATGGTAAAGCTGATTTTTCAACCATTTTCTTTGCCCTCTTCCTAGTATCATGCGTCCACCAACAAACTGGCGGTTTAAGAGAACGTTTACCTGAACGTCTGCCTATGGTTCTATTAGCTGCAATAATAATGTTAGAAACAAAGCATTTATGAAACTGTTCAATGTCGATCAAATTTATAGTTGGCGTGATAGTGTCAGAGCACCAGCAGTAAATGCAGATCAGTCTTAGTTTAGTTATCGGGTCAAGTTGAAGGCTGGTAAACACAGGATAATGATAACTGCCAAAAGAATCCTGAAAATACACTTCCCAATCACAGTGTGGAGCTAGTTGTGGACTGACAATGGTCAAATCCAGGGCTGAAAATGAAGCAGCGGCCAAGTCATACGGTACCGTGTCATGGAACCATCATTCAGAAGGAAAAGATTCCTTTCATCAAGGAGAGTCTTAATAGCCTAACCTCCAACATCCAACTTAACAGCTGCCCACAACAATGGATTATAACTATTAAAATCAGCACACAATGCTTTAAGATTATCCAGACACACAGACTTCATTTGTATATGAGGCCATGAGGCCGAGAGTACATGGCAATACAGACTGTTTAGTGGCGTGAACGACTTGTGGTGATACATTTCACGTAGTCGTTTACAGAGGTTCATAAGTATATAAATACATGTGGATGAATAAATGTACACATTGAACAATAATAATATACACTTAGTGATGTTCAAACGTCTTGAGTAGCAATTTAGACTTGGTGCACAAACCTGGGGGTAGACAAATACATAGCATACTAATGTAATGTATACAAAGTCGCAAGGTAGGGATTAAACTTAGGTTTCTCTAGTCTCAAATATCTTTGTTTAAAAAATTGCTTAACACAAGGTGAGTTTTTTATTTTTGTTGGTTAGTAGTCCTACAAACAACAAAGTTGGGTGCTTTGTATAATATTCTGGTAGATACTTTTGTCTGCTCTCCTCATACCTAGGACATACAAGGAGGACATGGAACTCGTCTTCATTTGTGTATCTACAGTAGGGGCAGAGCGATGCATCAGGGTCAGGGCTTTTAGCCCGCCGTAAATTTTGTATACAGAAATTATGAGCATTACATCTTAACTTTGATAGTGCTCTACAGAGCTTATGGCATTTCAGGGATTCAAGGTAAAATTCCATATTATTGTCGGTCTTAATGTTTGCAAAGATATATAGTGAGTTTGATGTTCTAATATCGTTGGACCAATCCTGAATATATATATCATGGCATCTCTGTTTAAATATTTGCAAGAATACCTTATCATTACCCATATCCTGTGCAAGCCACGTCCATCCAAAACCGTAACTAAATAGTAATTGTCTAACATATGATACTCAATTTACATCCCCTGTGTCATCAAGTCGTTTTAGCATATAATAGCATCGTTTTGAATAGCAGGTTTCAGGTTGTCTGAGTAAACAAATCCAATATGATATAACTCTGGCTTTACAGTTTATGTCTAACGGGTATCGACCACATTCAGAAATAACTGCTCCATAAGGGGGAGCAATAATTAATTCTAAGAAGGAATTTGCAGAACTTAGTGTGTACTTTCTCTATCAAAGGTCATTCTTGTATTCCCTAGATTTCGGCACCGTAAAGTAAGATTGGTTGTATTTTACTATCAAATATAATGGATGCAGATTTTATCGCTGGAAGCAAGAGCATTATTGTAGATATTAAAAATCGAGACCAATCTTGTATCCTTCAAATGGTTAGTGACTGCATTCGCTTCTATTTCGGACTGTGGCAACCTAATTTCACTAAATGACAACGAATCCTTTATGAGTATAGCACAACCACCTCTAGACCCGATCGGATGGTCTTTACGTAGACAGACATACCCTTCCCAACAGAATTGCTGATTAGGATTCAAAAACTTCTCCTGAAGACATATAACATCTTGCATGAGATCAAGACTGTTGACAAAAACTTTAAAACCTGGGCCATTAGCATTACTAGATCTAGCATTCCACTGAAGGATTAAGAGAGTCATAATAAGGATTATGTCTTCCATTATTAACCCTTAACCATGCTCGTCAGATCATCAGATGACAACTTTAACCCCAGCAGAGAATTTGCAGCTGATGCTATTGTCTGTAGACCATCAGACTTGAAGGCATGATTCGTTCCAAGGTTGGCAACTATGCAAATAACGAAATTGAGAAATTCAACTGGAGAGACATTTCTGGATTTGGACTGCTTCCTGATATTTAATACAGCCTCTGTAGGCAGCAGAATGAGCTTCACCCCAGTTTTTACATTTAAGGGAACTTTCATTGCATTCCTCATACTTGTGCTTCCCCCTACATGTAGCGCACACATGATGAGTGCTCCAACACTTAGCAGAGGCATGTCCAAAGGACTGACATTTAAAGCAGCGCAGAGGAGAGGCGACGTATATCCAGATTGGAAATCTCTGAAAGAAAATAACAGCGTGATCTGGTAAAGACTGACCAGCAAATATAAGCAAAAAGATTTAGTAGGAATTTTATCAGGTCCACGAGTCAAACGCACAGCAGAGCATAGTAGAGGCAAAACAGGTTTTATTTCTTCCTCAATCTTACTCATGTCAACATCCAGATCGATACCATAGATAACTCCACGGGATTTCATTAGTGATTCAGGCTCATAAGTGGTAACATAATGTTCACCAAGCACTGTAACTAGCATAACACTGACTATTTCAGTAGTAACCTTAGCCAATGCTCTCGCCAAAGCCCGCTGGGTCATCAGTTGACAAAGGGTTGGAGAAGTGTCATCATCATCATCATCATCATCATCATCATCATCATCATCATCATCATCATTATCATCATCATCATCAACATCTGCCTAAATGATGACAGTGGTTGACTTCACCTGAACTAGCTCATCATAAACAAAAGTAAGATCAGACCATGCAGAAGGAGTGGCAATAGCTATAGGTGGTTGCTTAACAACACAAGCTTTCTTAGAAGAACCATCTGGAATGCGACTGTTTCGCTTCCTCCCTGAGGACACCACTTTGAAGCCATCCTCACAGTCCATTCTGTTGTCAGACATTGCCAAGGAAAATCACCAACAACTGACTGATTAACCCACGAAAAAGAATAGAAGTAAAAGTTTCAATACACTTCAACAGAAGAGAAAAACAGAAAACAACAACAACAAAAGCAACAACCAAGTATGCTATGAAACTATTCAATTTGCTCACAAGCAAAAGACATCCGTACTCATCGGCAGTCAAGACCGAACTCCCATGATGTTGATGTTTCTAGGATCCTTTTCGACCAGCATGCAACGGACATGTTCATTGTAGCCTACTGTAGGACTTTGTCTCCAAAAACCATCTAGGTGGTCAACCCAATTGCCACTTCCTTGCACGACCCACTAAAGTGCACACATCATAATCCCCTCTCACGAGCAGGATACTTGTGCCCATTGTTGAACATTAATCTTATCTTCAGACCACTGCTCTGATCAGCGAGTGCTCAACTTGCATTATATCCCCTGGTTCTGATATGAATGCGACCGCCACAGTAGGGATCCTTACATGACATCTATGAGGTGCTTCCTCAACAAGAATGGTGCATATTCCAGTAAGCTCACCTTCCATGTCAGTCAAATAAAGCACTGTGTAACGTCAGATAAGGTAAAACATGTTTTATACAAGGTCCTGCACTTTAATGTTTCTACACTGTCTTTCCATTCCAGCACTGTCTGTTAGGTTAAGATAAGGAGGCAAAAGTGTCAAGTAATTATGTAAACATTGTATTTATCCCCAAAATGCTCATGTTTATTATGATTATTACTATCTGTTCATTGTATACTTTCTAGATGGCCTCTCATAATTGATACCAGTGGCCAGGCTGCAGTTTTCCTGCGTTACCGAGACACAAACAATATGAATGCTCTACGTCCTGCTGATATGGAGCCTGACCGCATCAGAATGGCCCTGCTTGGTGCTATCAGGTCTGTCATCCAGCATTAACTGTACCTTGTTTTTCATTTACAACTAGAATGAGTGAGTAAGTTTGGTTTGACACCGCTTTTAGCAATATGCCAGCAATATCACAAAGGGGGGACACCAGAAATTAGCTTCACACATTGAACCCATGTGGAGAATCGAACCTGGGTCTTCGGTGTCATGAAGAATGCTTTAACCACTGGGATGCCCCACCACCGCTACAACTAGAACATCTGGTAAGTCAGCTTCCGATTATCAAGTGTTATCCGGTGGATTTTATCTTCATTTAATAATGGTTATCTCTATCATCTGTATCACTATTCTTTTCTTGTTCATGAGAGTTTTTTGATTGAATAGCCATACCAGAAGTGGTCAAAACAAAGCTATTATAGTGGATGGAACCAGGGTATATTTATCATAATAATATGGAGATGTAATACACTTGATAATCAAGGTTCACTTTAGAGGATTTCATGCATGGTCTGTGTAGAAAGGGTGCTTGTCAACTTCTTGGTGTTGTTTATATCACTTGAAGATGTCATGAAGAAGTAGGAATGGTTTTTTAGTGATACTTGTGCATATTTTTCAGGTTTGGGAAACCAGTTGTACTGGACATGATGGAAGTGGACATGTTTGAGACATTTTCTGACCGAATGGATCTCATTCAGAAGGGACTAATGGCTTCTGTCATGAACAAAACCATACTGCAAAATCACAGGTATTAACCAAATAATATCTATATGCATACCGGTATGTACCATCACCGAAAGTGTGTGTAGGAAAGGCATGCAGCTTAGCAACCAGCAGCAAGGATGCATGTAACACAGTCAGTATTGCTACCTCCAGCATGGATGTGAGCCAGTCAGCTTAGCAACATGTTGTATTTAATGGGAACAACATACCAACTCTCAGTCATCAAGCTGGTGCTTTTTTTATATTATCCTCTATAGTCAATAGATGCCAATCAGCATTAGCAGTGTTTTGAGCCAGCTAAGAACTATCTCATGGACATCATGGACAAATATAAAGCAGTAAGTGGTTCACATTGCAATTATTTAAGCTAGCTTTGCAATCCAGATCTTAGGTGGTGAAACATTGCATTGTCAGTATAGTTGGCATCAGCATGGATGTGGCCATGTGAAGGATTCAGCAAAGCTACCATCAGCAACAGTGTGTGAGGCAGTCATAACAATGGGTGTCTGAATGTTTATCACTTCAGTATCGGAAGCAATAGCAATAGCTTCAAAATATGGATGTCAAGCAGTGACCATCAGCATGTGTGTGTGAGGCAGTCAGCATAGTTACCATCAGCATGTGTGTATTAGGCAGTCAGTACAGGTACCATCAGCATGGGTGTGTGAGGCAGTCAGTACAACTACCATCAGCATGGGTGTATGAGGCATTCAGCATAGTTACCATCAGCATGTGTAAGTGAGGCAGTCAGTATAGCTACTATCAGCATGTGCGTATCAGGCAGTCAGTACAGCTACCATCAGCATGGGTGTGTGAGGCAGTCAGTACAACTACCATCAGCATGGGTGTATGAGGCAGTCGGCATAGTTACCATCAGCATGTGTGTATTAGGCAGTCAGTATAGCTACCATCAGCATGGGTGTGTGAGGCAGTCAGTACAACTATCATCAGCATGGGTGTATGAGGCATTCAGCATAGTTACCATCAGCATGTGTGTGAGGCAGTCAGTATAGCTACCATCAGCATGGGTGTATGAGGCAGTCAATATAGCTACCATCAGCATGTGTGTATAAGGCAGTCAATATAGCTACCATCAGCATGTGTGTATAAGGCAGTCAATATAGCTACCATCAGCATGTGTGTATAAGGCAGTCAATATAGCTACCATCAGCATGGGTGTATGAGGCAGTCAGTATAGCTACCATCAGCATATGTGTGTGAGGCAGTCAGTATAGCTACCAACAGCATGTGTGTATGAGGCAGAAAGTATAGCTACCATCAGCATGGGTGTATGAGGCAGTCAGTATAGCTACCATCAGCATGGGTGTGTGAGGCAGTCAGTATAGCTACCATCAGCATGTGTGTGAGGCAGTCAGTATAGCTACCATCAGCATGGGTGTATGAGGCAGTCAATACAGCTACCATCAGCATGGGTGTGTGTGAGGCAGTCACTATAGCTACCATCAGCATGGGTGGGTGAGGCAGTCAGTATAGCTACCATCAGCATGTCTGTATAAGGCAGTCAATATAGCTACCATCAGCATGTGTGTATAAGGCAATCAATATAGCTACCATCAGCAAGTGTGTATAAGGCAGTCAATATAGCTACCATCAGCATGGGTGTGTGTGAGGCAGTCAGTGTAGCTACTGGGAGCATGGGTGTGTGAGGCAGTCAGTATAACTACCATCAGCATGTGTGTGTGAGTCAGTCTGTATAGCTACTATCAGCATGGGTGTGTGAGGCAGTCAGTATAGCTACTATCAGCATGTGTGTGTTAAGCAGTCAGTATAGCTACTATCAGCGTGGGTGTATGAGGCAGTCAGTATAGCTACCATGAGCATGAGTGTATGAGGCAGTCAGTATAGCTACCATCAGCATGTGTGTATGAGGCAGTCAGCATAGTTACCATCAGCATGAGTAGTAGACAGGATGACAGTCCTGGACCAGGGTAATCTAAGGCTTCATTTAATAGATAAAGCCTTAGTTGGACCCTTACCATTACCATCTACTACAGAGCTTTATTTCATAAAATAAGCAAAATGTCCCAAAGAAATGTATTCCCCAAAGGGGAATTGTGCCTCTATCACACGAAACGGTGGGATACGAACTCCACCGGGTATCTTACCTCTATGTCGTGTTGACGGGAGGTAATACTGTACCGTACGGTACGATCAATAATTCTTCTTTTACAAACCCTCTGCCGGGGCCATCCATTAAATAGTACAAGTTAGGTTCGTCGACTTTTATATCCACTTTATCTATGTTGTAAGTTTTGACTGACCATATAGGATCGGTGGCACGCTTACGACTATCACCCTCATGTTCTCCCGGTTGGTATAGATACCTCAGGAGAGCTCGGTCGGGTATCTGTTTCTCCTTCCCATGCAATGGAGCAGACGGTTCAGCCATCACTGTTTTTAATTTGATAGCGTCTGCCGGTTTCTTGCCAGTGAGTCGTGTGATTTCATGGTTTATTGCCGACACCACCTTAGGGAGCCGAGCGACCCATTCGGTGTTGGGTTTATTTAGACTTATTTCCTGAGCGTACTGATATCCAAATAAACGCTCAGCCAAAGTCCTATTAAATCTCTCTACTATAGCTTGGCTGCGATGGGCTCCAACCGTGCCACGTCTCACTCGTACTTTGTGCTTAGTCAGCAACTGTGATACAACACCCATGAACTCCCGACCAGGGTCAACTTGGAGCTCTGTTGGCCACGTCAACGGACTGCGTTTGTATATACGCTCAATAGCTTGAGCTACCTGGGCAGAATCTTTCAAGGGTCAATGGTTCAGCTTCCTTATACCGGCTGGCTATATCCACGATAGTCAGGGCATACTTGTAGGTTTTACACTCCTCACCCTGTCGCCGGAGGTAGGAACAGCAGGTCTGCTTGGTGAACGCTATTAGGTATATTAATACCGAACTTCCTTCTAGGCAACGTGAAGCGTGGTGGTGGTAAATATATCTGCCAAAGTGCTTGTTTTCAAGCCATGTTTTGACCTCCTCGGGGATACTCGCGCCATTTTAGCCAGCTTATCTACAGCTTAGCTCCTTTCCAATATCCACGCGGACTGTAGTAAATAGCCTCAAATTTTTCTGGTTCCGTGACATGTCACTATTTATTTATACCTATGTTCTTGGTTCAATTTTCTCATGCCCAGACGCTGCACGTGTTTATCCCATCAATGGCTATCCAACGCTTAGTGTCCATAGGTGATAATGATGTTTTATTTATAGTCAACCCGTGATATCCTATGCCCATCACTTCTAAGTGTGTTCATTTTATGTCTAAAGGTACGGGTCTTGAACAGGGCTTCCTTGAATCTGGCGTGTTTGATGTGTTGTTTCACCACGTATTTTTTTACACCCTTAGCTTTACGGATTTCACCATTGTCGGTCTTCAGTATGGAGTACATCTTAGGCCTCAACCCTATGTACTCGGCTATGGGCGTGCCAGCACACTCGTCCTTCATCTTACCTAGGACCTTTTTATTCACCGTGCTGTGTATGGCATGGTCCTTGGGGTAGTCGCTGGTGTCGCATAAATCGAGGTGTTTTTTCATGTCCCATTACACGCCCTCGGTTCGAATCTCCATCAGCAGGGAATCCGTGTCAGTGTACAGCACTTCGCACCTGTCGCCGTACTGTTTCTTCAGCTCGTTGTAGTAAAAGTCGTACATCAAGTGTTTGGATAAATCGAGGATGCTCATCCCAACGTAAACAGGCCGGTTTAATATTATGTGACTTTTCTTCATGTGTATGGCAGCCAGGTCGATTTATCGAATATCTTACTACGGTTGAATGCAGGGTTAGCGATCAGCTTCCTGAGAGTTTTTCCTCCTCATTCGACCGAACCAGCTTCACGCCCACGCCGCGTTTCCTAAGGTTCTCCATAGTCTTACCGAATACCGAAGTTGTTCATGAGCTTATACAAGTTTTTCTCAAAGTCACTGGTAGCAAGCTTTCGAGGAGGTCCGTGTTCATTCTGATGTAAGGCTCCATCCAGGGGCTCTGGTTGAACACGAAAGCACCCTGTGTATTTTGGCCAGTTTCATACCCAACGACAGGTACAGCTGCAGGTTGCGATAGTGTACGATGTATTTGGTCTTATTCATTAAGTTGGGCACGAAGTTTTCAACGCCGTCACCCGCCTATCTAACAAGTTATGTTGGTATTCAGACATCCAGTTCAAGTTAACCCTCATACGCTCGGGGCCAGGGGGTAGCTGTTGTGTGATTCGTGTAATGCTTTGGGATACTCCAAGTCAACCTCGAGGATATAACCTTTGTTCGAATCCGGTAGCCGATGCTCATAATATCGAAATCGGATGATATCCATTTGAATCCCCTGTTGGTAGATACTGACTCATGGCCCATCCGCATACAGGTTGTTGGCCGAGATAGAGAATGTGATTGGTTGGTTTGCTAGGGTCGTAGCCATTCACGTATTGATTATTTGCTTTTCGCGTAGACGCTTGGTTGCCATGGAGATCCCACCGCAAGCCTTTCTCAATGAATAGGTGCATGTCATAATCTGTAAGCAATTCCAACTTAACTCCGGTCTTTTAAGCAAGGCATCCCACGACAGACCTGGGCTGGTGTAATACCATGCTGGATCTAGTTTATACTGCTTGATACATGTCCTCCTAAATGTCTCAAACACGCCGGCTAATAATAGTACATCCATCTTCAAGTACAGATCGTGATAGTCACCCAGGTTTTACAACCAAGTTTATTCCATACGCTAATAGCGCATTTAGTAATCGCGTCTTCGGATATTTCCGAAGTCTGTCAGATTGCTGTAAAATTCTTTGATGGGAGGTAGTCTGGTCTCGGCGAACTTAGTCCAACTATCCATGTACTCATAGGGATACACACCTTTCCTCATAAGCAGAGATCTAGTCTCGGCGTCTGTGTATCGACATCGGTGATAGGAAGGTATCGTTGGCTTTAATCAGGCTGGCTAATGACGACAATAGAAATTGGCACGAGTCAATGAACCTAAGTCCGCCTAAGCTGAA